TGTTTGATGACATCATCGGGGATTGTTCTCCTGGAACTCTCACCTAAACTGACAGTATGTGTAAAAATGTTGGTTCCTGTTTAACTCCAGCTGGTCTTGGCATTGAGGACTTGTTGATAACAAGGGAGGGGCAAATACATGAACCAAAGCCAGCAGGAAAATAATGACTGCAGCTGGCTGGCATGGCCACCAAACCAGACGCTTTGAAATGTGAACCACAGTCATCCTATTCCCAAATTATGTTTGATAAATGTGTCACTTTAGCCTGAGGATTAAAAATAGTTATTTTCTTTCTCTGTGCATAACAATGACACCTTTACTCCTATGACCAGAAAACAGAAAAATTGCATTTCAGCAATCTTAAATCAGTATTCTCCGATTAACTGCCTTGAGACCTGAAAGTAAAACCCATTACTATAAAGCAGCTCCCCTCTTCTATTTGCATATTGCAGCAGCAGAATCAAGGTTAGGAAAGTGGCATTTGCTGACAATAGATTCTAAATGTTAAAGTGAGCAGTTCATTTAATACTCACTAGAAGCACACTTTGCTTTGAAAGAGAGGAAAAAAAGTAGCGATTTGGGTTCATCAATATTTCAGCAAATCTAGAATTAGAATTTCTCTTCCGTCTTTGCTGATTTCATGGAATACATATACTTATTCCACTACAACCTCGCTATAGCACCATATATGTTTCCACGCCATGAGCACATTATTCCTTTCTTACAGAGAGGGGGATCCTCCTCTGTTACTCAGGAAAACACACTGCACCCATACAGAGGTAAGCCACAAATGATCATATCTCCCTTGATGCAGGCAATGACAGGCCCGGTACAAGGTCCCTGTGGGCCGGTTCTGGACGTGAGGGTAATAGACAATCAGGTGGCAGACGGTGGGAGGTGATGCGGTGGAGACACAGCCGGAGATTTTTGGCTTCGTTGGCAGTCGGTGGATGAAGTCTGCGAATTGTATCCGTCACTTCCACCAGCAGGAGTTCCGTGTTAGCCAAATCAATCAATGCCAGAGCCCAGTCCAGGAATGATGTGTTCGTAAATACAAGTCTGAGGGTGTGTGTGTGTGTGTGTGTGTGTGTGTTTTAAGATGAGCTCCAGCCTTCAGTTCCAATACAGACAGAGAGAGGCTGTGAAAAGAGCGGTGCGGAGGCGAGGCGGAGGGATGTGAGCACCAACAGTTCAAACAACCGCTGATCCAGGTTCAGACGGGCTCTCATTCTGGGCAGCGGCGCACAAATAACAACAAGGAAGTCGACTGAAGAGGCTGGAGGTGGAAAGTTCTGACCGACGGATTGAGGGAACCAAGCCGAGGTCTAAACGCACACTGATCTGCGCTAACTGAGCGTCAGCTGCGTCTGCGTCTTTGGCCACCTATCAGCCTGGCATTAATATGCACCTCGTATCTGGACTCTGTCGGGTTATGATTTACTGGACTACTCTTACACTCAACGATTAAATACAGCTACATAAATACCACACGATGACAACGCATTACTCTTGTCCTCAGCAAAACGGAGATTAATACACACCGCGTCTCCTATTATGGGATTTATGATGTTCAAAATGGACAGCTCCCCTGCTACAGTAAGATCCTTTCCGGGCAGTTAATCTATCCATGCTGATGACAGCTTGTTTGTGCGCTTTCGAGTGGCCGGTGAAGTATATTCTGATTTACATAGATTACATAGATTTTGGACGCTCACTGTGTCACGGTAATTACCGCTCGTGTGCCAAGTTGCTCTCTGTGAACCAGTGGAGTGTCCAGCTGCTCTACACCTGAGCCTCGCACACTTCCTAATCACTTGAAACACATTAGCACTGATGCTAAAGCATATGGTGGCCGCTAGAACCTATTATATGATTTCGCTGATCACCTGACCACTCATTTAGCACCACAAGTAGCAGAATATTTCCACTTGTCGAGCACTGACTACACTCATTAACAGAGTCAATGCCATACTATGAGGTTAATGCTTAAATAGCATGCTACCATGCTAAAAGTTAGCCTGCCGTTATGCTTTTAGTCTTGTTATATTTGCAACGGGATTACACAGGTTCCCTTTTTTTTAGTCTTAGTACAGTAAATGTATAGTTATTATTAATTCCTCCTGTCCACGCTGACTGTGAAGTGATCCCTGTTTAGCGCCACTCCTTGTCCAGTGGAATGATGCGACACACACAAGTGCATATGACAATTGTTTTAAGAAAGATTTGGAAAGATCTGAACCTCTCCTTTGATGAACTCTGTGAGAATTTACAAGCACAGGCGGGATCTATTCCTCTGCGTGTGCCGGAGGGCAACTGTACTTTAAGTATGAATCCATGCTGCCGCACCGATAGAACTGTGAATCCGCGGGTGCTTGTCACATTTTTACATTGCAATATCTATGTCACCCCTATTTTGTGCCTCTTTTGTAACGTCGCCACGCCAATTAGGCAGGTCAAATCACTCGCGCTTGGCATTATTTGAAAGGGCAAACTGTTCCATTTTTTTTCCGCCTTGTTTCCCACAGTACCAACCCGACAACTGCTTAATAATGGAACAGGGAAAAAACACCTCAGCCAGTGTCATGAATCCAGTCTAACATGTGGGGAAATAAAGTAACCGCATCCAAGAACTTGAGCACCCACCATGTATTCAAATTCGGCAAAGTGTGCCTCGAAATAGACTGAGCTCCACAACAAACACCCCTCACCCGGAGGCATGACGAATGCTGCAAAGCTCCTCAGCTGGACTTGATTAGGCTGGTGAAGGGATGAAGACCACCACCATCACCACTCTACCCAATGACATTTCCCCCGCAGGCCCAGAAGCGGACCAAATCATCCACGCATTAATGCTGCTATTAGTCCTCTGATTAGGATGACGAATGGTTGGATGCCTAATGAGCGAGTCTGTGTGCATGACTCTGTGTGTGTGTGTGTGTGTGTGTGTGTGTGTGTGTGTGTGTGTGTTTGTGTGTGGCCTAATGAGCAGCACTGGCACCCTACGACGACTTTGATTGACATGAGGGCGAGATTGCAGAAGAGGTTTGTGAGTGTCATCGGTAGAGGGATGGGCGGTTGATGTCCCATTCATGCGAGCTACACGGGGGTGAACACCTGCATGCACCGTACACACACACACACACATGCGTGTACACACATCCTCGGATCATTGCTCAGTTTGCCTGCAATCTCCTCTGAGCAATCGAGGGAGCTAATGACACAATTAGGGTGTGTGTTTAAAAAAAAAAAGCATTGGGTTGGAATCAAGGTGAGGCTGATTCCACAGAGCGGACTGCTGGGTGGGAATGAAAATGTGTATGATTTATTTAAACAATAAATGTTTAATGTGTGCACTGGAAATTCAATCTGCGCTGATTAAACTCTAATGGAGACTGATGGAAGGAAAGCAGAGTGGAATATGGAACCTTTTTTGGGCTGCGGGGGGGTTAGGCTATTAAGTGTGTGTGAGAGAAAGGGAAGGGGGAGGACGACAGACTGAGTAAGCAACTCCGTGATTTGTGCGTCAGTGTGTGTGTGTGTGTGTGTGTGAACTGCAGTCCTACGATTCGGTGAGTTGGAAAATTGCATATAAACCTGTACGAACGCCGACTGGCTGGTGAAAGCCAAAACACAGAGACACAGTCGAGGCAGCATTCTAAGCGTGGACAGGCTCGTGTCGCAGCCACTTTTGGCGAGTACCACGTCAGAGGAGCCGAAGTCCAATATATTAAGATAAGGTCAATTTATACTGCTAACGTCTCGTGCTACCATGCCTACGTCAATTATGAGAAGAAATATATTATTCGGGTCATGTTGTTAAATGTCAGATCCACGTCTGGTTTAGACGTTAATACCGCTTGAGTTCAGATATGGCAGAAGTCAGTTTGTGCACACGAAAGAAAAAGAGACGTGTCACTTTTTACGGTCATCGTGTTGGTTTGGCCAGATCAAAAGATCCGCTTGATTCATACACTGAGGAAAGTTTCTTCTTAATCTGGGAACAAAGTGTACAGACACTGATCATCTGACAAGACTTTTTACAAGCAGTACGTGTCTTAAAGGTGCACAGGGAAACATTGGATTTGAGGAGTGCACACGCACAAACTGAAATGTCAAACACGGCAAAGCATGACTCCTTCGCTTCCCTTAAAGTTTTAGCGGATGGATAAACTGAGTGGAGCCTTTTGGCGCTGAAGGAGAACTAACTTGTTCATGAGATTGTGTGTGTAGGATTGACACTCAGACTGTTGAATTGAAGGTCCATATGAATCTTTATCAAAAGTTTAGTTTGAAGTTTTGGGTCATTTTTTTTCTCCCGCAGAGAGATTGATACAAACTTTTATCGCTGGAAATGTAAATATGGCGCTTCAGCCTATAGCCGTTATTTAGCTTAGCATGAAGACTGGAAACGGGGGGGGGACACAACTGGCTCCGGCTTCGTCTTTAGCGCACAGACATCAAAGAACTATCCGACATATTGAAATATTTCTTCAACAGGCTCTGTGCAATGATGGATGTCACAAACTGTACGCATACAACCACTAACAGCTAGGCTGTTAAGTTCCATCACACAACCAATGCTTAAATACCAGAAAATACATATTATATATAATGTAATAAGTGTCCTGCTGTGTAAAGAAGTGTGTGGCACACACATATTGCCACTGGTAATTCCTGGTCTTTGATCCACTATCCAAAATAATAGAAATGTTTTCGATGATGAAGACAAAGCAGTCTTGAAACATCAAGGCCTTATATATAAATGCCCAGTTAAGTCGCTCCCATGAGAGGACAGCAAGACTTGATCCGAGTCCTACGTACGTCAAACATTTGACTTTGTTGTGAAGAGTAAGAGATTGATCGTCTGAGGCTCACACACTTCATCTGTGTTATCACCCCAAACCTGCACTGACTCGCAGTGGCTTAAAGCAACGGTCAGCCCAAGAGTTGCACACGGCCTATCTTTGGCATCCCGGCTTGAGTTTAGCTTCTGCACTCACTTGGCACTCGGTTGATGGCTCTCAGGGGTCTCAGCACGCGAACCGTCCTCACCGCTGAAAAACTGACGTTCTGCAGGTTGAGCGAGTACTCCAGCATCCTGCAACATGTGGAGGGAGGGAGAGAGAGAGGGAGGGAGGGAGGGAGGGAGGGAGGGAGGGATGTGTAAGTACGGCAACAACAAACCACATGCTTTAATTGCTATCACGGCTCACACTGCACAGCCCTGCTTCATCAGCTGGGAATAAAAAGAGAGAAAAATAAGTGCAATATTATGAAAGCAATTATATATTCCATGTACTACATCCCCCCCCCCCCTTTCACTGTGCAACTGGTAATTAATCCTCTAATGTTCTGAATCCTGTTTTTACATTATTAGCTTTAGAGATGAATGCAGAACATGTGTTCTGGCAAACAATGCGCTTTCATTCCAACTGCTGCAAATGGGGCAGAAGGTCAGAAAAACACGTCACGCACACTGCAGCGTGTGTGTGTGTGTGTGTGTGTGTGTTTGTTTGTGCTTGCGTGTGGAGCGTGGCAAACACGCAAGGTTTTCGTGTGCCTGACAAACACACGCATGTATTGGCGTGCAACACTCGCACAATCGACCTTTCAAAGGAGCAAGCGGCGGCATATGTGCATTACAGACGCCGGAAGGAAGCGGGTGAATCACTCGTTATTGAGAGGAGAGTGTGGCATCCACCGGTACATAAGAGAGCAGCATCAGTTCAGTGCGAGTCATGACCTTGAGACGGCGCACACAAACACACTCCTAACAGCCTCTCCAGCAGCTCTTTAGAGGCTCTTTCAGGCTGCGATGGGAGGTCAGAAGGACAGCGCTTAGAGGGGAGAACCACTGCGGAATGCTTGAGAAAACCTCTTCTTCTTCTTTCTTGATCGGTGTTTGTCGTCATCTAGTCTCCCACTCACTCTCTCTCCTTATGTATGTGTGTGTGTGTGTGTGTGTGTGTGTGTGTGTGTGTGTGGAGCAGATGCTGAGCACATGTGCAGCTTGCAGGGGCGTGCGGCTGAAGGAATTCCCTCCTTGCACCAACTCCAAGTCTGTCCGTCCGTCTGTCTGTCTGACAAATGCGCAACACATGTCGGGCAGGTGAGTTGTGTGCATGCGTGTGTCTGCGTGCGAGCATGTAGGTCACCTTAAGTGCAAGTGATGCGTTCGAGGCGTCCCAGTATGAGCCTCTTCTACAGAAGACATCCTCTTTTTTTCCCACTCTCTCACACACAGGCACGCGTACTGTATATATATACACACACACACACACACACATACCCAGAGCTGACAGATGGCCTGCGGTTTACAGAGAGAAGGTAAATGGATAAACGGTTAACAGAACAGCACAGAGCTGCCCTCCCAACACCAGCGGAGGGACGCAAGGCTAACAGCATCTGGTAGTTCCCCGGGAAAACAGGCACACCACATTAGCGGCTGTTGTAATGTTCTGCAAAGGGCCGACTCAGACAAAAGGAATGAACTGGCACTTTTATGAAAGAGTAATGTGCAGAAAGAAGCTCTCAGTTTGACCTTGGAGACAGGGAAATAGAATAGGAGTATAGAACCTAAGCCGAACACTGGAAAGATTTTGATCATTTATTTTAGTCTCGTGTTGGTGCCACAACTTTATAGAAACGTACAGAATCCTCGTTATGCGACAAAAACATAATTTATGATGATGTCTATTGATTTGAAAGCTGGTTAACTAATAAGTGATTCAACAGGAAATTAACAAGCAACTATTTTGCCAATCAATCCATCGTTGAGGGTGTATTTTAAGTGAAAAATCAAACTAGTCTGGTTCCATCTTCTCAGTTGAGAGCATTTCTTTACTCTACTCTGATATCGATCGTAGGTATCTATTCCTATACCACAGAGTCCTGTAACCGTCACTTGCCATTTCATTCAGAACTGGGAGTTTAAGTCAACTGTCCTACAGTCACGCAGTTCAGATGATGGGCATATCGCAGCTTGAGGTGTTGGTGGGCACATTTTGAGACATTCATACAGCGCTATGCTAGCTGTTTCCCTGTGTTTCCAGTCTTTATGATAAGAAAGGGTAACTGTTGTAGCCTTGTATTTATTACATAATTATTAGAAAACGGCTTATATGACCCCGATGTCAGTCTGAATAATAAAGTGACAGCAAAATGGCAATCCAGTGAGATGGAGAATATACAATCAATCCACCATGATTCCAGTGCTGAATAGTATCGTCCCGAAGGGAAATTATTGTAACATTATCAGGAAGCCGGTGGGAAAACTGTTTGGGTGCCACAGACACGCTATAAATCCCCAGAGCGATATTAAACAAATATTGGGGTCATTTTTCATCAGACAGAGTTGCATAAGCAAACTTAAAAGCGGATGACGAATGATGTCTGTTGAAAAAATAGTCCATACAAAAACACTTGCTGCCCCTGATGAGAGCCAGATGAAGTTCGGTGTGCTCAGTGAAAACCGACCCATCTCACCTCATCTGGAAATGAAGAAACGGCCGAGGAGAAATGGAGTGAATCAAACAAACGGCAGGAAGTCGTGCACTGTTTTCGTCAGAGTCCGTGCCAGTGCTGATGATGCTGATACAGGAGAAGGGCAACCGGGGGGGAACTGAGAAACGACAAGCAGGAGGGGGACGCCCGACCTCGGAGGGAGTTTGCGTGAGGAGAATTCCCAAACTAAGAGCACACGAAGCAGATCCACACCAGGGGGACGGAGTCGAGGACGAAAAACATTTTTACATCTCGTCATGCACACTCTGATATGATACATCTTGATACGGGTGGATCCGAACAAGGACTGACTTGCGGAAGAATGTAATGAGATTCATATTCTATTAGTCAAGCCCCCAATGATATATGGCGGGAACGAAAACCCACCCACCCACACACACAAACACACTCCTTTGGCCGTGTAGCTTCTTAGCTCGTCCACTCTTATCGCAGAGGGTGAATGTGTGCGTTTGTGCCAAAGCAGCCAGACACATGAAGGATGGTACACGCGTACACTTTTCCAGCTAAAGGCCAAAGGCAGTGGCAGCTTGGCACACACATACACACTGGACATAATGCCACCCAGAAAGAGCTACAATAGGAAGAGTACGCAAGGCAGCTCAGGAATGTAATACACTGTTCAATCTTTAACCCGTCCTGTCCACACCTATCGGTCTACTTCGCTGTCTCTATCTGTCTGTCTCTCTGTCTGTCCATCTCAGTCAGTCCATCCATCTGTCTTCTTGCAGCTACTGCGCTATTATACTGTCATTGTTGTTTAGCTTGTTTGTTTTTCCCATGTGAATCACGACGGAGAGACTGAGAAAAGACAAATGGAATTGACACATTTTGATGGAGCCTCCTCAGTTTTCATGCTCGATTGGAGGCTGCACGGGGAGTTTGTTTTTATCGGGGAAGAATTTACGTGATGCATAATGTTGGAAACACGTTTGCAGAACAACTTATGAGGCGAGCTGGGGCATCTTTCGGTGTGCGCATGCAAAGACAAATGGCTTTGGGTATTCTTGCAAGGCTTTCAGTAAAGTAGCGGCCCATTGATCATTCCACGTAGAGGGCCGATCATTTCATGGCTGTTTATATTGTTTGTCTGGTTGCACAGAGTAGGCGGACTGAAGCGAATTTAAAATACAGAGGTAGTTCCAAGATGTGTTTTAGCTGTGAGCATTGTGTTCATTGCTAGCGTAGCTTCATGAAAGGTGGAAAAAGACACACCTTCCAACAATTTGAGAGCTCAAAAAATATACTTTTTTTCAACATTAATAAATGGATTTAATATGAATGGGGTCATGATGACTAAACAACAGAGATTTAGCAGTTTTCGTTTCTTTTAGTGGATTGTTTTGTTTCTTCTATGCTACCTGCCCATTACTTAACAGCAGACAGACAAAGTTAGCAACTAGCTGGTGAACATAGTGGAGCATTTAGCAGCTAAAGAGCTGACGAACGTCCTTTAGGAGTTGGAGGAGACCCAAACAGAGCTAAAAGGTGAGTCAATATTTACACCAAATTAATTCTAACGCTTCCACGCACATCCATAACCTTTGATTAAAAACCTCTGCTCCGAACGCCTAGCTAACAGTATGAGAATAAAAACCTCATCCGCTCCTTCATTACCTCCTGATGTGACAACTACAACAGCTTTCTCCACGACACCAACACTCTCAGCAAACTACAAAACATCCACAACTCAGCTGCCCGTCTGCTCACCCACACCAGTACCAGAGATCTCACAACCCCAGTCCCTCACAAACTTCCTGTTTAAATATGTGATCCATTTGCCCCCCCCAACCCCCCCTTTCTTCCTCTTTCATTGCAGTTGTTTTGTTTTTATACTGTTATTGCCTTTACTGTTTCTGTTACTGTTTTTATTACCAAGTAAAAGGCCTTTGAGTACCCTTTAAAGCGCTATGCAAATGAAAAAAAACATTTTATTATTAATATTATTAAACATCACAGCACGGCCCATTATTTACCCATGAAATATTGAGTAATAATCATAAATATTGAGAAATGCATTCACAACCAAATGGCTGCTTTAACCCCACTGTTATTATTACATTAGATGATGGCTTTGTTATTGGATTATTGGATTATACCGCTTTACCACCATCATAATCTGTCTTGTCATGTATCGCTTATTCTGAACTAACCAGTCATCATGTCCTCTCCACTGATATTCCTTTGGTCGCATATTGTTTGCTTTTCTATTCGCCTCTACATCAGTGAACGGCAAAGCTGTCACACTAGATGTTCCTCAGCAAATGAATTGTGAGTGATGGATGTGTGTGTGTGTGTGTTTAAAAGGTGTTTTTTTTTCGTTGCGTCTGTGGTGTATGTCTATACGTACACACAGTATATTGCCGAAGAGCAAACGCTACAGTATGTGCACCGTAGGAGCAACTCTCACCAAATCTTATGTAACAACACACATTTAAACAACACGCTCAATCCAGGCGGGTGTCTAATGATGAGAGTGATGTTATTAAAGCGAGTGCATGTCGTATGATTATGGAGAAGTGGAGGGAGGAAAAACACCACAGAGAACAGACAGATGGAGTGTTTTCATGCTGAATC